CCACCATATACAGCTGGTTGTTTAAACGTGATTTAGACATAGACCTTGACAAAACAATATTTGGAGAGCTCCAATCCAAGTCAGTATAAACAACCCAAAATGTATTTACTGCAGGGTGTCAGGGGATGTTACAATACTGCGGCTATGATCCACTCTTTTGTATTAGTGAGTACATCTACAGTGCAACCATGTCTACACCAGGAGACAGCTCATCTGTGCATTCTGTACATCCTATGTCTGGAGAAAGCTCATCTGTGACTTGCACAGATGCTTGTGGGAAGTGCACCACCAAATCTTTAAGTAGGAGACCCATAATTGTTTTGGCATTTGTTAAACTATTTGATTAGTTAAGCTGTTAGTAGTTATTATTACTTTGTTAGATACTTACCGAACATTTCGTAATATGTTCTGTACTGAGAATGCATGACTATTATATCATGACTGCATTGTTACTGCAACTTCTCTCTTTCTGCAAACCTAATTACTTTTGTAATTCCAATTATATCTCAAAAACACATCTTCTGTCTTCCTTACAGCTACATCTGCCAAAAACAGAAAAAGGAAATCTCAAATGGAAGCAACACTTGAACTCTTTGCTGATAGGATTTCCAAGGCCTTTAACAAAGACTCAGAGCTACAGCTACGAATGCAAGCTGCACAACATGAGCATGAGCTCAAAATTCTGTCAATGTTTACACAGTTTCTTGAAAGGTCACACTACACCCAACATCCACCTTTCTACCAGGCACCAACCCAGTCACCACATTTTTACAACTCAACACCACCAGATGCCGCAGTTTGCAGTTAATACCTTATTTGGCGTGCAAAATCATATTGTTCTGAAGTATTGCATATTTTTTTACTGTCACAGCTCAAGCCTACTGCCTGTAACCGGCCTCTGCCCCACTGTGATCCAGCCTTGGATTTCTTTTCTTAGAAACTAAACCATCTCAATATGTAACAAAAATACAAGAAACTCACATCTGACTGAAATATCAAAATTCCATCATTGCTTTTAACAGAACAATCAGAATTACACACTGATTTCACACAAAACTATCAATGCCTTAAAATCAAAACATAAATCTTTATATTTTGAATACTTTACTTGACTAAACATTGATTATCATTGATTAGACATTGATCAAGTAGGTCCTTTATGTTTATCAAACATTAATTATCAGTCAAATCTCTACTTTTGTGTCATTTTTGTTACTTCCTCAGTAAGGGGATCATTGTCCTGTTGTAGAAGCCATCCTCTTTTCAGCTTCAGCTTTTTTACAGATGGTGTGATGTTTGCTTCCAGAATTTGCTGGTATTTAGTGGAATCCATTCTTCCCTCCACCCGTGCAATGTTTCCTGTGCCACTGGCTGCAACACAACCCCAGAGCATGATAGATCCACCCCCATGCTTAATAGTTGGCAAGGTGTTCTTTTCATGAAATGCTGCTCCTTTTTTTCTCCAAACATGCCTTTGCTGATTGTGTCCAAAGAGTTCTATTTTAACTTCATCAGTCCACAGCACTTGTTTCCAAAACGCATCGGGCTTCTGTAGATGTCCTGTTGCATACTTCAGACGTTGGATTTTATGATGGGGACGCAGATAAGGTTTTCTTCTGCTGACTCTTCCATGAAGGCCTTGTCTGTGCAAGCATCGCTGCACAGTGGAACGGTGCACCACCACTCCTGAGTCTGCTAAATCTTCCTGCAGGTTTTTTGCAGTCAAATGGGGGTTTTGATTTGTCTTTCTGACCAGCATACGAGCAGTTCTGTCCGAGAGTTTTCTTGGTCTTCCAGATCTCATCTTGACCTCCACAGTTCCCCTGATCTGCCATCTCTTAATTACATTTCTTACTGTGGAAACTGCAAGCTGACAACGCTTTGCTATCTTCTTGTAGCCTTCTCCTGCATTGTGGGCATCAATAACTTTCATTTTCAGGGTCTTACACAGCTGCTTAGAGGAACCCATGGTTGCTGGGTGTCCACAAGTGTGTGCACAAGGTTTGAAGAGTCAAAGTATTTGTACAGCTTTGAAATTGGCATTTACCAATGACAGCTGTTGCTGTGCATCAGATCTAACGAGCTGATTAAGGTCTGATACCTTGTGAGAGACTTTGAGACTCTGGAACTCTTAGGGTGCCCAAACTTTTGCACCATGCCATAATCATGTTTTTATTTTTTATTTTTGTTCAATTTATGGCATAAGAAGTAACTATGCATCACTGTTTGCAGAAAATATTGTGCATTTTTTCCATTTCCAAGAGAAACTGTGTTAACATCTGTTCAAATAAAAAATCACCAAAATCTGTTATTTATCAAGGGGTGCCTAAACTTTTGCATAAGACTGTAATTCCTTTGTCTTCTCCAACCTCCGCTGGAACTTCCTCTTTCTCCTCTGCTTTCTTTGTATCTATCTATGGAAGAGAAATTCAAATGAATTAATGCTATCGGGGTTCGTCCTGCTGTCCACTTTTGACAACACTGGCAGCAGGAGTTATGCGCGTTTATGAACTATCCTCTTGTTTTTAGGAAGGAGCTCTCTGGTTTTATCATTCTGAAGTAATTACAAACTATTTGGAGTTATGAGGAGTGCCAAGCTAATCTAGAGGTACCCAAGATTAAACATTAAACGGCTGAAAATGAGCAAAATGAGCAGGCCATGGGGACTTTTAAGTTACACAACATTTGGTAGCAATCTTTTATGATTCATCACTTTCTGTTGTCTCAGGTGTGTCCAGACCTTTGTCCATGTCAAAATATTTGTGGAATATATCAAATATTGTTTGTTCAGATATGATGTCATTGGAGGGATCAGGCTCATTGAAGCTACAGTAAACTGATAGACAAATTGGCAATTTATTCCAGTATGTTATCATGTCATTCAGATATGCTTGATTGAGCAACTGGTGGGATGTAAAACATTAAAACTGTGCTCTGGGCCACCATTCAGAGTGCTGTCAACAGTAATTCCAACCACCTGTGGCCTCTAGCCCCCAAAAGCCTTTCAAGTCAATTTCTTCACTGAGGGGAAAGGATCATCCATCTTAGTGACAACCTGGAATTAGGAAAAATACTTGTGGCTGACAAGGAGGGTCCTCCAGATGCCATATGCAGATGGCCCACTGCTGAATGTTACATGCAGTGACACCTGCCATGGCACTTACATGAATTGCAGCATGTCTGAAGGAAAATGGAACGTGTAATCCTCATCATAGATGACTTGCTGCATATTGCAGCTGTCTTCTTTTATAATTGTATATGGGAAAGTGATGCAACAGATGTTTGACATGCAGATACCTGCCAATACCAGATGAAATCATTAGAGGTGTCACACTTCAGCTTCTTGGGTTTCATTTGTGGTCTACCACCGCACTTTGCGGTTATAAACATTCTGTCATAAACAACTGAAATTTCTTTGAAGAATATGATTGAAAACATGTCTGAAAATACCTATCCCCTGAGATCTATCATTTTAGAGTTTTCTATCACACAAAAAGTTACATTCCTCATGATGTGACTGCTTGAATGTTATGCTTTGTGTGATAATAGGTACAGCACCCAGTGAAGCCCTTTAGCTGTGTAAGTGGGGAAACTTTGTAACTTTGTGTTCTTTATTCTGACATCCTACAAGGTTGAAATTTCTCCAAAGTATGGGTGCTATGCACAGGTCAGTGGGATTCATACAGTCCTACAGGTTTTCTACTTGGCATGAAATTACTTACCTCATTTCATCACAATCTCCCTATTAGATCATCAAGTAGTTTAGAAAGATCAGGGGTCAGTAAAATCATTAAAAAATTCATTGGCTGGGCACAGTTAATATCTGCAGGATATTTACTTGTCCTAACTTGACCATTTCAGCTGGCATTGCTACTGCACAAAAGATTAGGATTTTGAATCATCTGCTTGCATTATGAGTATTTCATCATGCTTGATAGAAAATGGACCAGTAGATGTCAATATATCTTACTCTGGATGAAAGCATTTGACAGACCACGGGATTAAATGATAATCATCACAATCCTCAAAACATTCTTCTAGTGGAACAAGGGGTAGACTAAGTTTGAAATTGTCAGGTTTGCTCGGCTGCACCTGCCTCTCTCACCTCCTTTTCTTTGTTTTTCGGTCCCTGATCACATCACCTTGCACACCTGATACTCGTTTCCTTAATTGAAACCAGCTGCTTTCAGTCAGTCCTTTGCCTTATATATACCCAACTCACTTTTCACTCCCTTGCCAGTTCGTTGTTGCTTTCTGCCTGACAACCAGCGCCAGTCCTCTCTTTATTGATATCATTGGTTTTTGTTCTCATTCAGTCTGTTTGCCTTGCCTTTTCTCCTCAGCCATTCTCCACGAACAGTTCCTCCGGACCGTTATCCACACCACCCTTCCAGCCTCCACCAGCCTGGTCGGTACACAGTCATCAGACTCCATCTACTCACCATCTCTGTCTACTCTGTTCTCCCCAGCCATCTATCACCCACCGGCCAGACCGGGAGTGACCCTAGCGTCCGTAGCTCAGCCTTTCTTATCATATCCTTCATCTGTGCTCACAGAATAAACATTACCTGCTAGCTGATCATCACCCAGTCCTACATTGCCTAGTTGTTTGCCTTATCACATCACTATACTATTTGTACAGCAATATTAAAATTGCTTGTACTGAAGTCAGCCCTCTGGGTCCGTTTCTTTCTTCACTCACCCTCCAATGAGTGAGTGAATATAACAGAAATACTGAAAATACCAGGGGACCTCAAAGGTGCTTTACAAAATATAACAGCATCTGTTTGATTCTCAGTCTTCCCTAAAATGTCCATATGCATGGTTCTTACTTTTCAAACATTTAGCTGATGTTATAAGTTTGCAACATTGAACTTTTCTGTCTGTAGATGTCTCTTTTCTGTTTGTAGAAAAAAACCCTATTGCATATATAAATATGAAGGAGGTGCAAACCATGAGGAATTCAATCAAATCAGGAGCCTGTGTTTTTGTTACTGTACCTGTTTTGCCAGTGTTCTTCATGGATGTCTTATTAGAGGATTCATTGTCAAAGTCCTCCAGTGTCAGTTCCTGATACTCAGTGGATACCTTAGCATCCTGGTCCACAATGTTAATTGGTGACTGGTTTCTCTCTCTGCATTCTGGGTAGGCAGATGCCCAGCCCTCATCTGGCCCATATATACCTGAGAACAACGAGAAATGGAACAGGTCTTATCACCAGAAGTATACAATTTGGTCTGATATAGAGTAGGCTTTAGAAGAATACATCAGAGAAAAATGACATTTTAGAACTCACTCATGTCCTCAGCTGATAGTGTGCACTGCCAAGTCATATGAATTTCAATTAATCATTGCTCACAGAATAAACATAATGAGGCCCATATAGAAGAAGCTGCTAAAAAAACAAATCGGTTTCACTCATGTGGTAAATAGAAAATTTCAAAATGTCATTATTATGACATTACTGTATAGCCAGGATTTGTCCCCAGCTGCCTTTTTTGTGACACCACACATAAAATAAATTCTATATTTGGTTTTGCACTGCTGACCTGCTTTTCAACTTCCTCTCAGACAAGCAGCCAGCATCAATCACAGCGTTACTGAACTGGCAGGGAAACCTAAAACACCTCAGAAGAGTTGTGAGGCCAGTGGGTGCAAGAATTGGACTCTCTCCCTCTGTGTGTGTTTGTAAAAATATCCTTTGACAGGTAATGTTTTTTACAGAGGTCATGAGAGAAAGAGGAGACCAGGACTGAAATGTCACAGGGGCTTGTTTTAGCACTTGACTGTTTACTCAGGTGCTCAAAAAGCAGGGCTGTAGGTCTTGGGTATACTGGCAGCTGACTGCTGCCTAAGGCACCAAAGCCCCACCAACAGAAATAGTAGAACAGTTGAATAATAAATATATTAATGATGTTTGTTTATGGGTGTGCTCCAAAACCCAATCCGCATGGTGATGGGTTGTGCCTGATGGGAGTGATTTCTGTGCCATTTAAATTCAACACATGACAACACATGCACCTGAAGCCACTGAAAGCTGCAGCAACTCAACAAGATAACACATGCAGTATAATACTGTAGAAGGGTGAGTAGAAACCTTTTTATGGTCAGAAAATGTGGGGGCCATACCCTCCCAGTAGCCCACTGCTTGTGTTTGAGAATCAGCAACTCTGCATTTGAATATTTACTGTAGAAATATCATGCTGAGCTTGATAATTCATTCCTTGACCTAGATTCTGTCAAATCATGACTGAATGAAATTAATACTCATAAAAATCACATTTGATATTAAGATGATGTTGGTGTCTGGGGCAGTATTTGGTCAGTAATGTAGCCTATTCACTTTGTGTTCAACGCCAGAGACATCTCTCATCTCATTTCATTTTCTACTCCATTAACCCACCCTTGTTGCTACATAACATGTGATATGCTGGCACAACCAAATGGAAAACAGCCTATGACTGGGAAACTAGTTAAACTACTTTTTATGGTATATACAGAAGATCAAAATGACACAGGAACTGGAACTTCAAAATAGTGTTCCATAAGATCCTCATTCAAGACCATACTGACACCTAGGATACATAACAGTATGTTGTACAGTTCAATCACATTGCCTTGACAGTGACAGCTCATAATTAAAAGTACATGTAATATTATTGTTTATTTGATATTTTCGAAACAACAAATAAACACAATTTCACATAAAATCTGTACAATCAAGGGTAGGTGACTCCAGCTGGGTATAAGTGAGCAGAGTCCATGAGTGAGTCAAGCTGACAAGGTTACAGTACATGTATGTAGTCCAGACATGGTTCTAACAGCAGCAGGGCAGAGAGGTCTGAGCAGAGCAGACAAAACATTACCTGTCAAAGGATTTTCCTCAGGACTGTGCGTACCTGGCCTGGTGAGACAGTTAGTGGAGGGGAGGTGGTGGGGTCGGGTGGTGTGTGAGTGCCTCTTCTCTGTGCTGTGGCTGGAGGTCTCAAAGCGGGTGTAGAAGGTGTTGAGGTCATCCGGCAGACTGTCTGTGTTGCTGATGATGCTGGTGGTGGTCCTGTAGTTTGTGATGTGCTGCAGGCCTTGCCACATCCGTCCGGAGTCAGCAGTAGAATAGAAGCCATTCAGCTTCTCTCTGTACTGCCTCTTGGCTGCTGTGATGGCTTTTCTCAGTCTGTACTTTGCAGCTTTGTACTCCGTCTCATCGCCTGATCTGAATGCATGAGAGCGGGCACGCAGCATGTGGCGTACCTGACTGTTTATCCAGGGCTTCTGGTTGGGGAACCTCCTGACTTGTATGGAGGGCACAATGTTGTTACAGGTCACATACTCAGCATAATCTTGTACACTGACAGAAAAGTCCTCTGAGGTGGCTGTAGCTTTAAACACATCCCAGTCTGTCTGGGCGAAACAGTCCTGCAGGATGCCTTCAGTCTCTGGGGTCCAGTCTTTGCTTGTAAGCTGGATACAGGAACAAAGAAATGTGGTCTGAGCGTCCAAGGATGGGGGCGGAGTGCGGCCCTGTATGCACCACGTATGTTCCTGTAAACATGATCCAGGTAACGGCGGTCAGGTAGCGCGAGCTTTTAGCCTAGCATGGAGTTCCCCGCGCTTGCCCCTTTTGCGTCTCTGTCTCCGGGTCGCTCTCCTGATTTCAGCCTGCTCGCTTGTGCCTGGTACTCCGGGGATTCCCCGAGGACGGTGTTGGCTGTCCTTGCCATTGTTGCTGTTGTTGTTGCTGTTGCTGTCGGAGCAAACAATGAGTTGTAGCTCCGGTGGTATGAAACCAGCAAATTCCCAGTGGCTTTGTGAGTTAGCGATATCCAGCAATGCCTGTCTGTTTTATGTAAGTAGTACATTACATTTGTGCACCGCAGTAAAAGCAAAAAAACACACAAAAAAGAAGAAAACAAAGAATAAGCCGGGACCCCATGTTGTATTATTACACATACTATATGTTGGCAAACTGGCGGTCCTTGGCCCATCTTTGCTCCTAAAGGGCTTGGCCTTTCCTACATGCCACCTTTGTACCAAATCATGATGCAGTCACCTGTTGACATCACCTGTTTCAAATGGAATCGTAATTTCATTGGTTTACCTCATTACTGATCCTGAAATGCAGCCGCCCCAACTTTGTTTGAAATGTGTTGCAAGGATCAGAATTGAAGTGAGTGTTTATTTTGAAGAAAGAATAAAGTTGATGAAGTATCACATCAAATAATGTGCCACACAGATCAGTTTTTATTTTGATTTTACATATCGTCCCAATTTTTTTGATTTGCGGTGATTACTAACCATTGTGTTTAATTGTTAAACAAGACAGCAATGACACAGCATCAGTCCTTTCGGCAAAAGTACAAAAGTGACATTTTGTGGCCACAGTAATTATGGCAGGAACAACTCAGGTGATATTTTTACATAGCAACAAATTCTGGACAGTGTAGACCATTGTAAAATCTTAACCTCTGTCAATATTGTAACCATGATGACAAACGTCCTCCAACCTCAAATTATGATTGTTCCCTTAATCCAACCAAGCTGTTTTGTGCCTAGTCCTAGCCATACCATTACAGTAGCACATCATATATCACAGAATTGGCAGTGATTTTAACTACTGGTGTGGTGAAGTTTGTATCATGGGCCTGCTTGGGTTTTCTTCTTGGTATATATGGTACCATTGGTATATACAGTGGGTACGGAAAGTATTCAGACCCCCTTAAACTTTTCACTCTTTGTTATATTGCAGCCATATGCTAAAATCATTTAAGTTCATTTTTTTCCTCATTAATGTACACACAGCACCCCATATTGACAGAAAAACACAGAATTTTTGACATTTTTGCAGATTTATTAAAAAAGAAAAACTGAAATATCACATGGTCATAAGTATTCAGACCCTTTGCTCAGTATTTAGTAGAAGCACCCTTTTGAGCTAATACAGCCATGAGTCTTTTTGGGAATGATGCAACAAGTTTTCACACCTGCATTTGGGGATCCTCTGCCATTCCTCCTTGCAGATCCTCTCCAGTGCTGTCAGGTTGGATGGTAAACGTTGGTGGACAGCCATTTTCAGGTCTCTCCAGAGATGCTCAATGGG